GCAGACCTGGAATGGATAGACTTTTTTGAGTCTAACAGATATGCAGCTAAGTTTGTGAAGACATCCAGGAGAGCATCCCCTAGGTACATGCAAAGAGAGAGAGGTTTCCTACAGTCAGGAAAGGGTAGGTTTAGGGACCTACCTGAGGCCTTGGTTAGATTTTAGCTCTAAAGAATAGCAGCGTAGTGTTTTTCAAACCTCTTTGACAGTGATGCACAGTAAAAAATAAAGTTTATTTCAAGACATAGTACACATGTCACAAGTTTTCACAAAATATACCTTTATACTATAAAATAAAAGACTGTCCCATACATAGGCTGGGTCAGGGATGTTGTGGGAATATAAGCCACAAACCTCTTCTTGGAAATCAATTATATTTGATATATGGGATTTTAATGATAAAAGGATAAAGGAGATAAAAGGATAACATCCTGATAAAAGGATTTTAAGGAGATTAAGCCCACTTCTAAGAAGCCAGTTACCTATGTACTCAGCTAATGTTGACCTTGGGAGGGATCCAATGGCCTTTAACTGTCTTTCAATAAATCTATTAATCCTTAACCAAAACTTTTTTTCTTGTATGTAGTCTAACAATGATTATCTAGGTGTTCTCTTTTTCTGTACTTGCTGAATAGTCCTAGCAGAAGCCCAGTCTCTTGTTGCAATGTTGTAATAAAAACTTGACACTAGGTCATAACTAAATTGTCCAAACCTACCTCCTTTCCCCCTTCCCCTTTCCTTCCTTCGTTCCTTTCCTTCCTCCTTCCTTCCTTCCTTTTAAATAGTGTGATACATTCTGATGGCATTTTTGTTCTATTTAATTTTTAAAATGCTGATTGTGACCCACTACATTTATTTCATCAGTCTTTAATAGTTTCAACTGGAAGCTTAAAACTATTGAGCTGGCAATCCTCGTGGGTCAGTTTATTGAGGCAGAAACACACTGCTGCCATTATGAAATGAAATCAGAGAAGGAAACCAGGTAAGATAAAGGGACACGGTGAGAAGTGAGAAAATGTCTTTTGAAACTTAAAAAAAAAAAAATTAAACATTAAAAGAGGGAGGTTATGCTACAAACTTTGAGAATATACTTGCAATGCAAATAAATGAGAACTTGTAGCCAGAATATTTAAATGACTCATAAAAATAAGAAAAAAGAAAAATTAGCAAAGGGTATGAACAGGCAATTCACAGAAAAGGAAACCTACAAGGGCAATAAGCATATGGAAAGATGCTCTTCCTCTGCGGTCCCCAGCCCCCAGGCCATGGACTGGTACTGGCCTGTGGCCTGTTAGGAACTGGGCTGCACAGCAGGAGGTGAGCAGCCAGTGAGCAAAGTTTCACCTGTATTTACAGCCGCTCCCTATCACTCACGTCACCACCTGAGCTCTGCTACCTGTCAGATCAGTCACTGTCTCCCATCACCCCCAGATAGGACCATCTAGTTGCAGGAAAACAAGCTCAGGGCTTCCACCAATTCTGCATTATGGTGAGTCGTATAATTATTTCATTATATTATTACAATGTAATAATAATAAAGTACACAATAAATGTAATGACTTGAATCATCCCCAAACTATCCCCCACCCCCAGTCCATAGAAAAATTGTCTTCCATGAAACTGGCCGCTGGTTCCAAAAAGGTTGGGGACTGCCGCTGCTCTATCTCATTAGCAGACAGGAAAGGACAGGGCTCAGAATTACTGAAGCTTTAGAAACTTGGAGGAGGGGCCACGTAGAGCTGAGAGTCAGACTTCTGAGAAGGGTGCTGGCTGGCTGGCTGGTACTGGTGTTCTCAAGTGGGGTGCAATAAAAACTGGTTCTTCAAACATTAGAATGTTACAAAGTAGATTCAGCTGCCACTAAGAGATGGCACTGCTGCTGCCAGGGTGAAATGTTGCTGGTATGAGCTCAACATGGAGCCAGGTGGCCAAGTAGAAATATGGTTTTTGGAGACTTAGCCTTAATCACAAAACTGAGTATAGAGGTGGGGGTTGGAGCCAAGGGACAAAACCTAACTGCCATAGGCAATCTTATTGACTAATCAGCATTTATATTTGAACTTCCATACCACAAGAAGGGTTTTTTCTATCTAACAGAATACAACTATTCTTCATAGAAATAAAGATGTTACTACCCTCTCCTCTAAAAAGAAATACAAAAAGTTCCAACAGTCATTGTATCTATCTCTGGGAGACAGTGATACTGAGCTATAATAATTACTCTGTAAATGTAGTCACAGTCCCCTCTCTGGGCTATAATAATAAATCCCCTCTCTGGGCTATAATAATTACTCTGTAAATGTACTCACAGTCCCCTCTCTGGGCTATAATAATAAATCCCCTCTCTGGGTTATAATAATTACTCTATAAACGTAGTCCCAGTCCCACAGTGGATATTCTGTTGCCTAAAGACCAAATTGTAAAATTAATCTTCAACAAAATTTATATAAAATAATAATGAGGAGGAGGCTTCCAGCCAGAGTGAAGTAACAGAAACTGGATTTACCCTCTTGCCTGAAATAATTGAAGAAACGGTATGGGTAACACGCACACAGAACATGCAGCAGGTGCACTAACAATATGACAAGCAGGCTTTAACAAACAGCATCATTTCAAAGCTGTGGAATTTGATGTGTAAAACAGTGTGTAAGACTTTTCAGTCCTTTCCTTCATGTCTCTTGCCTTTTTTGGATACTTTCTTGCTCTGTGTGTATCTCTTTGGAATTCAGCTTTGAAACATGGATAAATGAAATTGGGAGGAAAAAACCTAGGTAAAACCCCACTTATGAAACAAGGATAACAAAAAGAAAGAAGCTACTAGGGTCCTGTATCATTCCTAGATAATCAATCATCAAGAAACCAGGTGTTTGGCTTTTTCAGAGTAATGTTCAGACCAATCTATCAGATACCATTAAGAAGAGGGATAGAAGCAGTTAATGAATGGAGAAAAGTCTGGAAATATACAAACCAAGTTGCTGACAGTCATTTCCACAGGATGGGAATGGAAAAAATTAATAATAAATTATTAAATTTTTCCTTACATATTTTTGAATTATTTCATTTGTTACATTAAGCACATATCACTTTTGTAATAAAAAAATTTATAAGGAACATTGTTAAAGAGAAGCAACTACTTTGTTCATTTAGAAAACACTGATTGAGAGTGTTTGTACATAATGCACGCAGTTTGTCATGTGAAAAAGATTTAGTAGGATCCCCAAACACTAAAATTCCAAGGACTAATTATTAGTTTAGAGCAGAAGTTTTATAAGGCAGAGGGATTAGGGTAGCTTCTGGGGTTTTATAACATTTTTCCGCTTGAGCCCCTGATCTAGGGGATAGGCCATACACTTCCCTGTAATTAAATGAACATGGGTAATGACTTAGCACAGTGCCTGAAAACAGCAAGTGCTCTAATTCAAAGTGAGGCACAACAAATCAGGGTTATTGATAGCCTATTAGGTGGGACCCTTTTATCCTCTCAGGCTAAATATCGCATAAATCACTGAAAGCAGGGATGGAGCCCTCCTCAAAGAGCAACATATCCCTTTCTTCTGAGAGTTCCTGCCTGCTATTCACCAGAGGTCACTACCCTTAACCCTCTTCCAATAGCACTTCCTAGGCCTCACCACAATTCTGCTAAGCAGAAGTGGGGTGCTTCCCTAATGGGCCATGCTCTAGCTTTCCAAGCTGCTAGATCTTTAGTGTTTCTCAACCTTGGTGCTATTGACATTTTGGGCCCTGTGATTCTTTGTTGTTGGCAGAGGATTGGGTGCTGACCTGTGCACCGTGGGATGTTTAGTGGCATCTTTGGCTTCTATCCACTACGTGCCAGTAGCACCTTCTATGACAACCCCCTTCCCTGCCAAACAAAAACGTCTCTAGACATTGCCAGATATCCTCTGGAGCTGCGGTTCCCCAACTCCCGCCGTGCCATAGAGTTCACCCCCTGCCGCCGTGAAAAAACTCAGGGGGCTGCACAGCAGGAGGTGAGCTGCGGGTACATCAGGTGAGAGCCAGCGAAGCTTCATCTGCATTTACAGCTGCTCCCCATCGATGGCATCACCACCTGAGCTCCGCCTCCCGGCTTCCCCACCTCCACCCCCGCCTCCGTGGAAAAATTGTCTTCCATGAAACCGGTCCCTGGTGCCAAAAAGGTTCACAACTGGGCACATTTAAGGTAGGCTAGGCTAATCTATGATGTTTGGTAGGTTAGGTGTATTAAATATATTTTCCACTTACTATATTTTCACTATGGTTTTATCTGGACGTAATCCCATCATAAGTTGAGGAGCATCTGTAGTGCCTGGCACAGAGCAGGTACTCAATAAATATTACTCTCCTTCACCTTCCTCAAACCTCAGGTCAGGTTTCAATACCTTTCTCTCACATTTCCTTCTAAGATTATTTTTGATTGTTGATGGGTTTACCTTCATTTTTAACTACATCTGACCTACGTTAAAAAGTGTGTGGGTGGGGGTACAAGATACAAAGACTTAGCACAATGAAAATAATTTTGAAACACAAACACCAATAAATAAATTTATGAAAGTCTGTTCCTTGCTCCTCAAGTTTTTAGCAGGTAAATAATCAATCATTCCACGGCTCATGATTTCAGTTTGGTCCCTGTTCCTAAGTTTCAAGGAATGAAAGTCTTTTGGGGGATATGTATCCAAAACTCACCTGGTTCAGAGGCTCAAACAGCCTCTTGTTCATCAACCCAATTTACACAGCATCATGGGCCTGAAAGTCTTTTGTGCTGGCTTCAAGTTAAAATAGTTCACTGGGTCAAAAGCAGGATGGTCCAAGGTGCAGCATGGTCAATAAATGTTGGCTGAGTCCAGAAACCGCAGCTTGGCTATTTCTTACATTGATTTCTGGGCCGTTTCCATGAAATCTAATAAGATGATTAGTACACTTGGCAGCTGGCTGGCTGGAAACCGTAGGCAATTCCGTCCTGGCTAAGGGCTGTGGCCCTTTCGACACCTTTGGGAAACATTTCATCGGGCTGTTTTTACGTTTTGGCGGCCTGCCGGCTTGTCCCGCCTGGCAGGGCTCTCCACGTGGTGCAGAGACGTCTCCACCCGCAGGGATGAGGACCTGACGCGACGGGAGGACGTTTCTGTGTGCTGTGAGGAGGTTTCCACGTGCTGGGACGACACCTCGAGGACTTGAGGAAGGCGTTTCCCAGAGGGGGAGAGGGAGGGCCCCTCGCTGCAGCGCTGGGAGGTCTCCACGTGCCGGGAAGACGTTCGCACCTGCCGAGAGGATGTCTCCACGCGGTGGGACGACGTCTCCACGCGGACTGTCGACGTCTCTTTGTAGCGGGCGGTCTCCACCCGGGGTGAAGAGCGCTTGTCCCCTAGGGGTGAGGCCATTCTGCAGGTGTAAGGGGGCCAGTGAGCGGGGAAACCCCACGACCCACAGGTCACCCTCAGTCACGCCTCTGGGTTACGTCACAGGGTAACAAATGACGTCACAGGCGAAAGCGCCACGACACGATGACGTGGGAGCATCATGGTCCTTTGGAGGTTGAAATGTCTCTTCATAACATTGGGCCCCCGTCCCTGCTCCAAGGCGCTCCCGCAGCTCTGGCACCGCCCTCTGGCACTTTGGGAGCCAGCTCGGGCGGAACCGGGCGCGCCAGGGATGGGCGGAGCCGTCCGCCTCCAAGCGAGGCTGTGCCCGCCCCCCGTATCCCACACTGCCCCGGGACCGGAAAGGGAGCTGTGCCTTCCGCAACCTTCCCCGCCACTCCGAGCAGTTACTCTGTGGAGCTGGTGGCGATCTAGCGTCTTTGCTTGTTATGGCCGCTGCTGTCGCTATGGAGACAGGTGAGTAGCGTTCTGATCCTCAAGTCTTCGCAGTTAGAACTGTCCTCGGCCGGCCCAGTCCCCTTCTGCTTCCCCGGGGCCTCCTTTCAGGCCTAACTCTCCGCAAGGTTAGTGTTTGGACGGGGAGGTGAGAGGGCTCATGTAAGCGTCTGGAAAGACCAGGGTAGTTTTTGCTTTTTTCTTAATTTGGTTTGTCCCCACATTTTATCTCACTTGCTATAAAACACGAACTGCACTGGCTTCCCGGTGTGGGCGCGACTAGGGGAGAGGGCTTGGATCTTAAACGGTCTCCTTTTTGATTGGTTTTCTGTTTCTCACCTGAGCTTGCTTAAGTTTGAAATATCGTCGACAGACTAGTGTATCATTCTGCCATTGATGTTTCTCACATACGCACACATTGCATTATCTTACAGGCTCTCCGTAGTCTTTTTCAGCTTGCATCCTGAACTTTTTCCTGACCGATTTAGCACTTTCCTTTTAGGTAACTTAATTACTGTTTGTTTTTTGTGTTTTTGCAATCCTCTTGCCTCAGCCTCCCTAGTATCTGGGACTACAGGTGCGCGACGCCACGCCCGGCTAATTTTTTTATTTTTTATTTTTAGTTTTTAGTAGAGATGGGGTCTCGCTCTCGCTCAGGCTGGTCTCTAATTCTTGAGCCCAAGCAATCTTCCTGCCTTGGCTTCCCAGAGTGGTAGGATTACAGGCGCGAGCCACTGCGCCCAGCTGGTAACTTAATCACTGTTAACAATTGTTGTAACGCATTATTAAAATAGAGGAAGCCGCAGTTATTACAACCTATCTCAGTAATCACTGTTAAAATTCCTACATAGTGGCCCGTAAGTGATAGGTATCTTGCTACGTTTGTGTTGCTGGTTTGTTTTTTTTTTTTTAATGACTTCTCTTTAGAGAAACTTTTTAACTTATTCCTTTTAATCAGGGCTCTGCTTTCTTAGATTTCTAACGAAGTTATATCTCCTCCCATGGCCAGTTTAGGAAGACCATCACATTCCCTTCTTTACCCTGAAGTGTCTCTCAGCATTAGTCTGGTTTCATTACTGCTATTGATTTTTGCTGTCTTTTCTCCTAGATGATGCTGGAAATCGACTTCGGTTTCAGTTGGAGTTGGAATTTGTGCAGTGTTTAGCCAACCCAAATTACCTTAATTGTAAGTTGTTAAGCACCTCATTAAACTGAGGAGCTAGTAATGATTTCTGACAGAAGAGTTGCAATTCATAATAGATCTACTTTTATACATTCTCAATATTGAATGGAATTACACTTATACTGGTATATAGATATAATTGAGCCTTGGGACTAGTGTTTTGAATTCAGTCTGTGTTGGTGGTGGGGATGTTACATAAATAGATTCTTTATATTAGGGGTCACAAATCATAGTTTAAGGGCTGGTTTGACCTACAGATATGTTTTTTTTCATGCCTTTCAGTTCTTGCCCAAAGAGGTTACTTCAAAGACAAAGCTTTTGTTAATTATCTTAAGTACTTGCTTTACTGGAAAGAACCAGAATATGCCAAGTATCTAAAGTAAGTTTAATTTTTATAATCCTAAATATGTGTATACTTTATTATAATAGAAAACACTGATGTTTAACAATCTTCTTTGTTTCACATTGGAAAAAATATATTTTGAATCTGACCACTTCTTTTAGTTGTCAACATCTTAATACAAGACACCTCATCTCTGACTTGGATTACTGCAATAATCTATTGACTGGTTATCTCTTGTTTCCACTTTCACCTTCTTCCTCACCCCTGAAACCTTCCCCCCACCAAAAAAAAAAAAAAAAAGTGAAACAGCTTTCTACACAAAAGTCCAACCTGATCTCTTAATGTGAGTCTGAACACTTCACTTTCTTACTTAGAACCTTTCATTGGCTTTCCATTCCATGCAGATTAAAATCTAATCTCTTTTCTTGAACTAAAGCCCTATATGATCTGGTCCTGTCTTGTCTGGCCTTGTCTTTTACCACTCTCCCCATCTCACTGGGTTTCTGATCCCAGTGAACTCACAGTCTATAAAGGTATCAACCTAGCCATGGGTGGAAAATTAAAGAACCTTACAGAAAAGGGTACTTGTAAGGAAGGTGTTTCTGGGATTTTTCTGTAGGAAGTAACCTTACCTGATTCTTAGAGCTGCTCTCTTTTCTTTAGGGCCTCTTATGTGCCAAGAACTGTGCTAAATGCTTCACGTCCATTAACACATTAAGGTAGATATATGTATTTTATATACATATATTTTTAATATATATAAACTATATATATTGCCATTTGGGTTGTTTAACAGGTACTTTTATGCTAAGGCTTACTAAATTGTAAGAAGCATATAATCACAAACTTACTCCCTTTTAATGGTAAAAAAAAATAAAAAGGTGAACTCATGTCTCTGGTTTGTCTTAACCAGGTAGAAAGAAAGCAATAGTGAAACTTTTTTTAAATGAAAGTTTGAGAGGAAAATGTTTCATACTTGTTCTTTATCCAAGTCACTTTTCTGATCTGTGTCCAATAATAACATTCATGAAGCATACATCCTTATGTTGGCTGCAAGACCCTTTGCACCCTTACTGGCTTTTTATAAACAACTCTTTATTCATTTAATAATTCAAAGAAAAGATTTTTTAATTAGTTTGCAACATATGTTATATGTCCCTTAGTCACCATCAAGTTCAGTCTCGCCTAACAATCTTGTTCAGAGACGGTTATCTATACTCTGGCTGGAGGTTTCCAGTGCACACATGTTAACTCTGTCAGGGATAGCTGATTCCACTGTTACCCAGATGTTAGAAAGTTTTTCTTTACATTGTGATACAATAAACCTCCTTGTAGCTTCAATCTGTTTGTTGTGGATTAATCCAGAACCAGTCTATGTCCTCTTGAGGTCAACAGCCCTTTAGATTATTTAAATTCAAGAGGAGTTGCAGATTAATCCCTATTGGGCATTTTATTCAGTCTGTACAAAGTTTTAGTTTAATAGTTGCCAACAATTAAAGATTGGAAGGTTTTATATAACAATCCAGATTTCCAGCTACTTTTTAAAATCTAGAAGAGCTGGTAACCCCAGGTGTTCATTCTCTCAGGTCAACAACTGGCTAGAGCTGAGAGCACCTGTTTCTACTAGACACTTTGCACCACTTGGCTTGCTTCATTGATAGCCAGTATATGCAACTATAATGTCTCTCTTACATCTGTTTCTCTCAATTATCTTTAGCCGTTGATTAAGTGCCATGGCTTCCAGTCTTCTCATGAATTCAAGTGCCCTCCTTTGGATATTTGGCAGTTGTACCTTATGCAATTCAGCCAAGAGCTAAACACAGGCCTTCAGATGTGGTCAGGGTACAGTGGGCCAAATGGCATTTCTTTTCTTGATGTGAACATTACATGTCTATTAGTACAATTTAAGTTTACATTACTCCTTTGCGGGGAGAGGGCCTAGGAGATCACATTGTTAATTTGCTAGGAGCTTTATTTCAACTAAAATCTTTCACTTCTTATTTTCATTAATGCTGTTAATGGAGTTCTCCATTCATATCTTGTTTATTTTTAAAAATCTAAATGTAGAACTTTCCTATTGTAGCTCTTCTATTTCATCTTTTTTTTTTTTTTTTTTTGAGACAGAGTCTCACCGTGTTGCCCGGGCTAGAGTGCTGTGGCATCATCTTAGCTCACAGCAACCTCAAACTCCTGGGCTCAAGCGATCCTCCTGCCTCAGCCTCCCGAGTAGCTAGGACTACAGGCATGCGCCACCATGTCCGGCTAGTTTTTTCTATATATTTTTAGTTGTCCGGCTAATTTCTTTCTATTTTTAGTAGAGACGGGGTCTCGCTCTTGCTCAGCTGGTCTCGAACTCCTGAGCTCAAACAATCCACCCGCCTCGGCCTCCCAGAGAGCTAGGATTACAGGCGTGAGCCACCACGCTCGGCCTCTTCTATTTCATCTTGACTTGTAGCCTATCAGAGAATATTGTAGCCTATCAGAGAATATAATTCCTTATTGTCATCTAATGTATTCTGAGCATTGTCTTCTACAAGTTTGATATAATAAATGATCACTGCATGTCTAAATTCCACTTATTTACTAAATGCTACTTGAAACCATTCTCTTGGTTGTCACATTATTTTACAGTTGAAGAAATTGAACCTTAGAGAGGTTAAGTACCTTGTTCAGGGCCACCCAGCTGGTACTCACACCCAGATCTTTTTAACTACTAACGCTATCATGAAAAGAAATTAGCCAGGACAGGTGTGAATAGAGCATTTTGAAGCTAAGCTGCCAACAGTTACAGGCAACAGTGCATTTTTGGAGTGTAGATAGTAAACATTATTTTGGAAGGACAGTATGGTATTGGGCCCTGCTATTCATTGTGGTCTTTAGATCAGCAGCATTGGTGTCATTTGGGCACCTGTTAGAAATGCAGAGCCCAGGCCCCAACCTAGACCTACAGAATCAAAGTCTATATTTTAAGAAGTGATTCATGTGCATATTAAAGTTTAAGAAGCACTGCTCTAGTAGTATACTATTTTCCAAACTTCAATCATTTGCATATTACTTGTATCATTTAGGCTCTATCTGTATACTACCTGTATGATTGATACATTTTAATTGTCTCATTTAAATTTTGTCTTTTTAATTTAAAATAATTTCACTTACAGGATAGCTGGAAGAATAGTAAAGAGAATTCCTGTATATTCTTTGCCCATATATTCTAAATGTTAGTATCTTATGTAACCACAGTACAATGATCAAAATCAGAACATTAATCTGTTATCTAACCTACAGACCTCATTCAAATTTTGCCAGTTGTCCCGCTGGTGTCATGTATTTAGTACAGTGTCCAGTCTAACTTGTATGTTGCCTTTTGTTGTCATGTTGTCTTAGTCTCCTTTAATCTGAATTTCTTGGTCTTATTTTTTTTTCATGCCTGGAACAGAAGTGATACTTCTTGGTATATCATATCAGGAGTCACATGAAGTCTATTTGTCCCACTAATGGTGATGTTAATTTTGATCACTTGGTTGAGGTGTGGTGCCTTCTAGGTTTCTCCATATCAGGTTTTTTTAATGCCTATTTAATAAGTATCTTATGGGGAAATACTTTTGAGACTACGTAAATATCTTGTTACATATATTTTGGCTCACTAATTTTAGCATCTTTTTTTTTTTTGAGATGGAGTCTTACTCTGTTGCCCCAGCTAGAGTGCAGTGGAATCATCATAGCTCACTGCAGCCTCAAACTCCTGGGCTCAGGTGATCCTCCTGCCTCAGCCTCCCTAATAGTGGGGACTACAGGCACCCACCACCACACCCAGCCAGGTCTTGCTCTTGCTCAGGCTGATCTCGAACTCCTGACCTCAAGTGAACCTCCCACCTCAGCCTCCCAGAGGGCTAGGGTTACAGGCCGAGCCACTGTGCCTCGCCTTAATTTTAGCATCTATTGAAGAGACTTCCATAATGCTTGCCAGTTTTTACTGTGGTGATTTTCTAATTCCATCATTCTACACTTATTAGTTGGAATTCTTTAGTAAGGAAGAATATTCCCTTGTTTCTGACTTATTATTTCATTAAAGAAATATACGTCAGTGTAGACTTTTTGATTCTTAATTTTATCCTATGGATGATCATTATGTATTTTCTTGCTCTAATAATTATTCCAAATTTGGCCATTGGGAGCCCCTTCAGTTGGCTTCTGAGTACTTTTGACGTATCTCCATCAATTTTTAGCACTTCTCTTTCTGGCACTAAGTAACATTTCAGGCTCATCTTGTACCTTCCCTGTCCTAGCCTTGGAATCAGCCATTTCTCCAAGGAATTATGGAAAATGCTATCTGAAAATCACAATCTGGACACTGAGTGTGCTCACTGGTACTATGGTGTCATTGCTTCTAGGTCCTCTCAGTACACACAGCTAGGAATTGTATGTATGTGTATACGTACGTGCACACACACACCTGTGTCTCTATTATATATATATAGACATACACTAAAAGCCATGGGTACATACAGTCTTTTTCAATTTTAGCTCAATACCACAGGGTTCATTCTAGCCTTCCCCTTTTATCTGTAACTTCCTTTCTGATAGCCAGAAATTTGGCTCTCTTAATTCATAATATACTTACTTGCTCAATCCTAGGATATACATAATTTCAGAATTGCTATATTCCTATGGAAAACTAGAGTACAATGTATGTGCACAGTTCTTTTTGAAACTGACTCACTTTTAAAGGAACGTTGTCTTATTTTTCCACTATTGATGGAAAACCAGCAGCTATCAATTAAACACATAATTGCTAAAATAAAAAATGTTCATGTTCTTGACATTGTAAACCACTAGAATAGCATGGCTTATTCCAAGATTTTCACTGTTTACCAGTTACTGTGTTGTATATGGTCTTGGGAAAGTTATTTAATCTTTCTGAACTTAAATTTTCTCATTTTGAGAATTTTACTTAATACTGACTTTTGATGACAAGCCTCTCTGCAAAAGCAGGGTGGAAAAACCCGTTACCAAAATGTACTAAGTTAATGTTATAGAAACATAGGCTATAAGATCATTTTTCTAAGAGAATAACTGAATTAGAACTTGGCATTATTGACTTAAATTATGTTGATCATTAACTTATAAACTTAAACCCAGGTACCCTCAGTGTTTACACATGTTAGAACTGCTCCAATATGAACACTTCCGAAAGGAGCTGGTGAATGCTCAGTGTGCAAAATTTATTGATGAACAGCAAATTCTACACTGGCAACACTATTCCCGGAAGCGGATGCGCCTGCAACAAGCCTTGGCAGAGCAGCAACAGCAAAATAACACATCAGGAAAATGAAAAGCTGGATACAGACTCTTAAGACATGTATATAATGTATTTCTTTTGTACAGCAAAGACAAAAGACTTCCTACCTACCTTTATTGTGGTAGCACCTAAAACCTTTAATGTATTTTTATCCAACTAACTTTTTATTGTTAATAGACTCTTTCTGTTAAACCAGAATTGTTCTACTTTGATTTCCCTGTGGGTTTGTAAGTTTTTATTAGCATTTAACAATCAACTGAATGAGAATGGAAAAGTTTGGTGCTTTAGACCAATTAAAGGAGGCAGTGGGGCATGGGGTAGGGGAGGGCTGCCAAATATATTGAACTCAGCCTAGCTTTGTTCCCGACATATAGTGGTGCCTTGGGGAAGTCCATTTCCTGGAACTTCACTGTCTCTTAGATCAGCTGTTCACCCCTCTTATCCAGGGAATGAAAGGAAAAGAATCAGTAACCTCTTTAAGTCACAGAGCAGAAACTGCATAAAGTTTCTTAAATTCTATAGGAAAGGACATACCTGTATCACCACTTGCTTTGCAAGATGGCTTTAAGAAAGAATCACTGTTATGTCTGACTTAGTGAAGGTAAGATTAGTGGTTAACTACTAATTGGACTCTTGACCTTAGACTAGAACAAAGATGAGGAGCCTCAAATACTTGTGCTCATTTAGCTAACACTTACTTCAGAGGTACCAAAACCAGGTGCTATGTGTTAAGTGCTTCTTTGCATTCTCATTTTATTCTCAGAGTAATCCTTGTTTACAAAAGAGGAAACTGAGGTTTTAGACAAGTTAAGTAACTTACCTATGGTTACACAGCTAAGTTAGTGGTAGAATTGGTGTGATTGACTTACAGGCTGGAGTTCTTCCCACTAAGTTATATAGTCTTTCTAGCCCCTCTCTGTCACATGCATCATCCCAAATGAAGCACACTGAGACAGCTGTAAAACAGCTGCCTGAATTAAGCAGAGGCTGGATCAGATGTACTGTGCTTTCCTTCAGTGGTTAGGTTAAATTCTACATTCCAAAGCCAAAGGAGTTTCAGGAATATCAATTGCTTTGCAAATTCATAGAATTTAAGGTAAAAGATCCTAATCCCTTTAGAGATTTGGAAGTTGTCTACTGCACTATTGGGGTCTTTTAGGTATTTGTCACCTCCAATAATAAAATTCCTTCAAGCTATTACTGCCACTCCTGAAGACTTATTTTACTCATATCTTAAAAATATCCACATATTAAAAACAAACTAAAGGCTCATGAGCATTTTAATACCACTCTATTGTTTAAACATATACCAGATTTTTAACATCATTTATTTATAGCTAACATGAATTCAGAAGAAGTGTGCAGTTTTTTTTAATACTACAACAAATCAGGTAATCAAGACAATTGCCATCATTAAGTCTTAATCTTCAGAGAACAACATCTCGACGAGGTTGGCTTGATGACACTCAGATTCTACCAGTTTTTGAGGCTGTAAGAGAAGAAGAGTGAAATCTTAACTCCTAGAAAATGTTACTAGGAGTAGAGTGAGTTCTACCTTGAATGACACAAATTAGGCCATTCAGAAACCAACTCGTTATAACAAGTTTTATGAAAGAGTTAAGATATTTGCCTTAAGATGAATCACCAAAATACTTGGCTCAAGAGACTTAAACCTAAAATACCAGAAAGCTCCACAGACTAAAACAGGAGACAGCAAGCCCAATACCATGCCCTTTAATTTAGCATCCCAGGAGCATGACTGAACTAGGAGTTTCATTTCTTTACAACCAGAATTATGGATTAAATAGAAAAACAACTGTTGATGCAAGTGTTTAAGGAATTATGAGTCAACCAACTTTCTGGCTATAGAATATTTTTAAGAAGAGTAGCTTAAAAACATGAAAAAGACCCAATAGATATTTGCATTATTTATTAATAGTTTATTGGGATTGGCCATAGAGATGGACTCCAAACAGCATTCTGAACACCAATGTGATTGAGATGAAATGTCAAGATCCTTTCAAATTTGAATCCAGAACAAGGTAAAAGAGTTTTGACAGAGTGAATTATAGCCCCATTATATTTAAAGAAAGATACTCACTGTTCCATATTTAAGTAGTGTAGGCACTGCAGTTATTTTCAGGTTTTTTCTGAAGTCATTGTTTGGATCTTTCCAGCTATTCCAAAAAGAAAGTGATCATGAAAAAAATTTACTTGGTTTATTACAGTTAGCTTAATATTTGATATATTCCTACATTTACTTTCTTTTAATAATCCTTGTTGTAAACACTTAAAAAACCTTGAGGACTATGACTTCATCTATTAATTTGTGCAAAATTTTCATTTAAAATGTGACTAAGATAGAAAATAAATGTAAAGCCAGCTAAGTTATGAACTTAAACCAGGACACATTCATTGAATTACCCTTTAAGTGGACATCTTAAATTTGTATTTAATAGCTTTTAATTCAACTTATCAGACTTTAGAACACAGAACCTGAGTGAGTTCCTGAGACTCTTCCCACCTAAGTCCCAAAGAGTCTAGTGCGTGTCTCTGAAACAGTATACGTTGCCACTTACTAAGGTTTTTCTCCTACTTGGCAGTAGATGAACACACATTCTTCACTAACATGCTTCAGCCCCTCTCGCACGACTGGTTCAGCTTTAAAAAAAAGTTGATATAAAATAATTACCAACTCTACAGTCAGATTGGCACTCAGAAACAGCCATCCTCTCCCCTTTCTCCAGCCTTTAAGTACTCAGACTTTAACCTGCAGTTGACTGAGGAGGTCAACGTTAAGTCAGGTGTTCTCTTCGGGTGTTAAAGCCACTTTAAAGGACCAAGTAGGCTCCTGACTGCCCCCACTCCACAGCGCCCAGAACAATGAAAAGCATACTTGTTTGCTGACTGACTTAAAGACCAATCACGTGTCCTATGAGACACACTAATCATATTGGGGAAGTGAGAAATTTTAAAGAATTAGATTCCAAGATCATCAGGGTCTGATGGTAAAAAGAAGAGCGCTCTGGGCAGGGCAGGGCTTAATAAGGAGAGGCATGGGGACAGCTGAGATTGCCCCGCGAATCTCTGGGACCAAGATTCCCTCTGTTTCTTCTCAACCCAGCTTTCTGGCCGTAGCCTCATCCTTCTCACCACTTCCGCGGGGCAGCAGCACCCGAGTCCTGGCCTTACCCTGCACGCAGTCGGGACACCAGCTTTTCCCTTCGTCGTCTTTAGAACCGGTAAAGTAGGCGAAAATGGTCTTGCCATTGTGCTGCTCCACAGCCCGGCTGAACTCCTCAAAGCCGGACACGCGCACCTCCTCGTAGGGGGCCATCCGGACCGCGCTGCAGACTGCGAGACGTGTCCGGTCTGGTCGCCGGGGGCCCACACGGGGCGGGGCGAAGCAGTTTCCGGGTGGGATAGGGCAGGGCGGTGCCTGCGGAAGCCAGCACCGCCCTGACGTGTACGGGAGCCTCTGAAGGCCAAACTCATCCTCATTGTCTTACTGCTCTCGTTTCTCAGATCTTTCGGTGCTAGCTCCACTCCTAAACCCAGGCCTCTTCCTTAATCTGGTCCCGGCCCCGGCCGCATGGACACTGGCTGCAAAACTTGCCTCCCGGCAACACCTGGACCCTTAAGTAGCTCAGGAGCCTCAACGGCTCCCAAGCCGCCTTGCGCCTGTTGCTATGGCGACTGGGCGAGCGGCCGGAAGCGAGGCCTAGATGGGCCCCCCCCTCCGCCGGTCCCGGTAGCCGCGCCTCGCCCCAGACCAGGTGGGCTCGGGCAGGAGCTGGGGGGGGATTCTGGGAAGCTGCGTTAGGAGGCATGGACCTGGGGTAGAGGAGACCTCGACTGGGCAGGCCCTGCCGCTCCGTCCCCCCGATTACCTCTTCTCCTGTCTAGGCTTTATGGGGGCCTTGGACTGGGGGGGGGGCGGGCGTCTGGGACTGGGCGGGGGTGGAGTGGGGGGCTGGGAGGGAGAAAGGCTGCGAGGGCTGGAGCTGAGTGTGAGTGCGTGTGTAGAGCAGCTTAGGGAGCGAGGTGCTAAGACACAAAGTGCCCCAGGGCTTCGCTGGGGAAAGACGGGAATTGTCCTGGAGCTATGAGCCGGGCGACTGGGCGTGGGGCCTTGCCCAGGCTGCGCGGGGGCGAGCTTGCTGCTAAGTTGCCGGGTCGCTGCGTGGGGCCCAGCAGGTCGGGGCGGGGAGTTCGGCGGCCGTGGGGGAAGAGATGGAGCGCAGGGACGTTTCGAGGCCGTGGAGCTAGGCGCCGGGCGAGGTCCTCGGTTTGGGAGACGCGCTGTGTGAGTGCAGAAAGGCTGCAGGACTGTCGGCGGCCATGGGGGAGGAGACAAGCAGCACACACAGCTGACGCCTCGGAGAATGGGGCTTCGGGAACACCTGGAATTGCAGGCTTGCTTGAGGCTGCTAGGGACCCTGGGGCTGTGTGGGTGAACGGGGCTGTCGGGGAGCCCAAGGTGGTGGGACCTGCTGGGTCTGTGTGGGTGACTGGGTCTGGGGAGGAGGAGACAGAAGATAGGAGTCCCCGGGGCTGTGAGAGAAAAGGTCGTCCTGGATCTCTGGGGCATGAGAGCATTTTTCATCTGTGGTTGAAGGTGCAGGCTATGAGGGCAGCTTCGGGATGTGGAGAAGGAAGCAGAGTCGAGCTCCATCCTGCAAGAGAGGGACCAGTTGAAAGGGGTGTCCCTGGCCGAGCTTCCTGGGTAGAGACAAGCTGTGGTGGTGTTACAGGACCTTGGGTGAAAGGGCAGGCTAGGGTGTTCCCCCGGGCCTCAGGGCTGTCCACAGCTGTGGGGCTAGGGGCGGCTTATGAGAGAGCGTCAGGCTTTTGTGGACAGGGACAGGCTGGGAGGGTGCCTCCTCCTGTGGATGTGCCTGAGGCTGCTGAGACAAATTCTGGGATTGCCTCACACCTGTTGGGGAGGGGACAAGCTGTGGGAGTGCCTGGGGATGTGGAGGAGATAGGCTATGGAGCTGCTCCAGGTCCTTGGGGAAAAGGACAGACTATGGGGGTGCCTGGTGCTGCGGGGTGGCCTGGGGCTGTGGGAGTGCCCCGAGCTGTGGAGGGAGAGATGGGCTGTGGAGGTGCCCCAGGTCTGTCGGGGAGAGGGCAGCCAGTGCAGACTCTGGCACAAGAGGCAGTCTGTGGGGATACCCCCAGCCTATGGTGCAGGGGACAGGCTGCGGGGGCGCCTGATGCTGTGGGGGTCCCTAGAGCTGTGATGGAGGAACCCACCTCTGTGGGCACCCCAGGCATATGGCAGAGGAGACAGGCTGTGGAGAAGATAGGCTCTGGGGGTATCCCTGGCCTGTGGGGCACAGGACAGCCTGCAGGGGTGCTTTGTGCTACTGAAGAAGAAGCTAGATGCGGGGGTGACCCTGGATTCAGGGAAAAGGCACAGGCTTTGTGGGTAGAGACAGGTTCTGGAGGTGACCCAGGATCATGGAGAGCTGCAGAGCTTTCTGGTCCTAGTGAGCAGGAGGCCGGTTTTGGGGGCACCCCAGGCCTGTTGGGTATAGAACAGGCCCTGGGAGTACCTGGGGCTTTGGGGAAGGAGGAGACAGGCTGTGCAAGTGTCCCAGGACTGTGGAGAACAGGACAGCCAGTGGAGGTGTCCCAGGCTGTGGTGGTACCAGGAGCCATGGGTGAAGAGACAAGCCATGGTGGTGTCCCGGGCCTGTGGGATAGGCGGCGTGCTCCGGCAGGGCCTCCAGCTGCGGCAGTGCCGGGGCTTGCAGGGGAGGAGACACGCTGTGGGAATGTCCTGAGCCTGTGGGAGAGGAGGCAGGCTATGGGCGAGCAAGGGGCTCTGGTGCCTCCAGTTTTCGGGGTGCCTGGGCCCAGGGCACAAGAGGCTGGCTGTAGAGGTGTCTCCTGTCTGTGCGGGAGCAGGCAGGCTGTGGGGCTGTGTGAGACAGGAGGGATACCCAAGGCAGCAGATGTGCCCAAGCACAGGTGTGCCCCAGCAGGGCTACCCACAGGTATGTGTGTGCCTGGGTCTGGAAAAGTGCCTGCCAGTGTGTGGGTGTCTGGTCCTGTGTGTCAGGAAAGCAGCTCTAGAGCCGTTTTGAATCTGTGGGAAAGGGTTTGTGCTGCTGGCATACCCATGGCTTCAGGGAGACCTCCGGCTCCAGAGGAGCTATGGCCTGTGGGGGAGGATGGTGGTTCTGGGGCTTTCCCAGGACCATGGGGAGGGAGGCAGGCTACTGGGGTTCCCGTGGCTTCGGAGGTCCCTGGGCTTGTGGGGGAGGAGACCGGTTCTGGGGGTGTCCTGGAGCCTTGGGGAAGGAGACAGAGTGTCAGAGCTCCTGTGGCCACTGAGGTGCCCACAGCTCCTAGGGCGCCTGGTCCGCTGGCGGTGGAGACTGGCTCTGGGGGCTCCTCAGGCTTGTCGGGAAGGAGGCAGACTGCTGGTGGGGAACCCGTGGCTCCCAGGGTGTCTCGGCCTTTGCAGGAGGAAACTGGTTCTGGAAGCGTCTCAGGCTCGTGGGGGGAGAGAGAGATAGTCAGGGGACCCATAGATGCCACAGGTCCTGCAAGGATGGGGGTGCCCACGTCTGCCAGGATACCTCGACCCACAGTGGAGAAGACTGACTCTGGGGGCATCTCAGGCTGGTTGGGAAGCAGACAGACCCCTGGGGTCTCCATGGCTGCGGGGCTGCCTGGGTCATTGGAGGAGGAGACACTCTCTGGGGGTCTCTTGGGCCTATCGGGAAGAGGAGAGAGTGCTGGGATGCCTGTAGCTGCTAGAGTTTCCATGGCTGTGGGAATGCCCATGGCTTCTGGGCTCCCTGGGCCGATGGTAGGGGATACTAGCTCTGAGGACGATGGCTCAGGCATATGGGGAAGGAGACCAGCCACTGAGGTGCCAACTGCTGTCAGGACTCCCAGACCTGTGGAGGGGGACGTGGGCTCTCAAGGTGTCTCAGGCCTGTGGAGGAGGAGACATAGTGGAGCAGGCCCTGAGGCCGCAAGGGTGCCTTTGCCTCTGGGGGTTCTTGCAGCTGTAGGAGTTCCCATGGCGGGGCGCGTGCCTCCAGCAGTGTGGGTGACTGGGTCCACAGGTGCAGGAGTGGATGTGGGTGTCTCAGGCCTGACAATGGTGAGAAGACAGTCCGCAGAGGGAGTGGGGGCTTCAGAGGAAGAGACAGGAGGAAGGAGTATCCTGGGACTGGCAGGGAGGAGCCAGGCTGTGGGGATGTCTCACACCTGTGTGCATGGGGCTGGGTTATGGAGCTGTCCAAGGTCTGTGGGGGAAGAAATAGCCTGTGAGAATGTTCCAGGAGTGTCAGGGATAAGAACAGCTGTGGGGGTGCCCCCAGTTCCAAGGGAGGAAATAGGCCTTGGCCATTTCAGAGATCACCCACATCAGAGTTGGGGGATACAGGCTGGAGGAATGTCTGCAGTCAGAGTGAGGGGGAACAGTTGGGGAGAGAATTCTGTGGGGGAGGACAGATTGAGGGGGACGTTCCAGTAGTATGTGTAGGGAGCAATTTGGGGGGAGGTGTCCTGGGGCTCTGTGGGAGGGAACAGGTTGTGGGGAGGTTTGTCCTGAATTATGGATGAAGGCACAGGCTGTAGGAGTGGAGATGACTCAGGATATGTAGGGTGACAAATTGGGAGGTTTCCTAGGACAGTGGGGAAGGGACAGATTGCAAGGAGAGGAGTGCCCCAGGACTTTGTATAGGGGTGGGTGTCCCTGGACTTTGTGTGTGCATGTGTATGTGTTCCATCACTTGAGGTTTCCTGGAACTGTGGGGATCGCCTAGTATTTTCCTAGTGGAGAATGGACTGTCAGGTTTGGCACATGGAAGCCACCAGGGGGAAAGTCCTGACCGTGTAAAAGTTGCAGATGCCCTGGCCCCAATTCTGCATACTCCATTCCATGGCTCCAGTCCCCAACCTGTGATGATGTCAAACCAGTTGGGATGGCCTTGCTAATGCGCCTTGTCCCATCTGCTTCTTTGATCATGTGTCTACAGCCTTAGAAATAAGGACTCTTGGACAGCTGCCTTTATATTCCTACCGATGTATCTGTCTTTAAGCAAATCCAGACCTGAAACCTTTGATTTATTCAAAAGCTTAAATTAGGATTTTTTTTTAACTTTGAATATCCCAATTGATTTACTGTAGGATTCTTTGAGAAACAAATTCCCCAGTGCATTTAAAATTAGTCAGTTCACAGAATATCAGCTTACCTCAACAAATGTTGAGTTAAATTGTCTACTGTGCTCAAAGTGCTGTGTTGTGGGAAATAGAAGAGTAAGACAAGGCCCTTACCCTCAAAAAACGTTGTCTAGCTGGGAAGATGAGACATACGCCTGTGAAACAGGTAAATAACAATATGAGACAACACTGTGATAAGCACCTGAGTGGCAGGGATAATAAAATG